GTCATACATGTAATTTGTTTTATGTCATATATGATGAAATTCATATGTTCATATGTCACATGTAATTCATATATCATATAATGTATATGATTCATATGTCTCGTGTCACCATTCTTTTCATTTTGCAATTACAAAAAAATGTATAAATGGAATTTATTTTCATTAAAATTAATTATATTAAAATGAATTTAATTTAATATTTTGCAAAAATAAAATAGATAAAATAAGTTTAACCAAAAAATGTAAAACTATATCAAATTTCAATAATGCTAAAACTGAATAAAATAGATTAATAAATATAAATGTGTAAATATAAATGTATACATATATATATATATATATATATATATATCAAATAACAATTTCGATAAAATTAAAAATTAGATTCATATAAATTTAATATTTATAAAATAAAGGAAAAAGAAAACGAAGATAATGATAATGTATTAAGAAATATATTTAAAATATATGAAATCATTAATATTAAAAATTATACTAAATTATACAAAAAAAAGAAGAAAAAATTATATTAAAATGGAAAGGAATAAATGAATTAATTTACGTGCAAAAATTAAAATTATATTATTTACAATACTAAATAATTGTTAAATTTAACTAATAAATGAATTTATTTGCAAATGAAATAACAAAAAAAAAAGAAGTAAAAAATTCTTACTTGTAATAAATTGTTCGACAAGTGAATTCTCCTTTGTTAAATTCAATTTTCTTAAACCAATCGTAAGTTCCTCAATTTCTTTCCCATTTAATTGCTTTTTTTAGTAACATTTTGTTGTTCTTTACTAATAATAATAGATTTACGTAATGGTGTATTATTAAATCCATTACTCGAATTATCATTATTTCTTTTTCCACTTCCACCTCCACCTCCTCCTCCACCACCACCTCCACCACCACCTCCTCCTCCTCCTCCTCCTATTGTTGCTATTCCATGTTGCATATCACCACCACTGATACCAGTTACACCAGTGGTTTCATCCATTCGAAGTAACGATGTTGATGAATTTATTGCACCACTACTACTATTACTACTACTACTACTACTACTACTACCACCACTACCACCACCACCACCACCACTACCAACACCAAATTTCTTCAAATGTTGCTTGAAAGTAGTTGCTTGTGATTGATGATGCTGATGTTGATATTGTTGTTGATGATGATGATGATATTGTGATTGCTGCTGTTGTTGTTGATGATGATGATGATTAGAAGGAGATATAGTTTCACCTAGATGAAGATGTCGACTTGATGTCGAATTCGGGGACTTTGTCGATGCCTGCACACATAAATAGCAACAACAGCAAAATAAAAAAGAGAAAAGATAATTCAAGAAATTAATCGAAATTAATTTTTTTTTCTTTTGTCCAGTAAATCGATTAAATTTTATAATTATTACATTTGTATTTAATTATAAATTAATTTAATTGCAGTTGTAAAACTTTACGACAATTTGATAATAATTTCATTTAAAAATTGTTTATTGTCTTCAAGAAATTATCCATTTGTTATTATAAATTAGAAATGATCGAATTGTCATTAGCTGTATAGATAGTAGGGAGAAAAAAAAAAAATGAACTAATAACAACGATGATGTTCAAAAAAATATATGATGATAACGATGATGATAGCGATGATGATGATGATAATAATGATGTTAGTGCTGACGACGATGATTACAAGAACAAATAACTTAATAAATCATATGATAATCGTTTACTTTTTAGAATTTTAGATTGCAAGATATTATCAGATGTTTACTAATATCATTTTTTATTTACCAAAAAAATTTGTCATTTTTCATTTATCATCATGTTAATATTAAAAGTTGTTTTTTTTTAACCATAATACAGATAAATATTAGATAAAACTTAGATATATTCAATTAGGTAATGGAACATACTCTTATTTAGGAAAGCTTATGATAATGAAATGATTTTCAATCTATTTGTGTTGATAAATTATAGTATGATAAAAGTATAGAATATAGAATGATAAAAGTATAGAATTTAAAAAATATATAGAATGATTAAAGTATAGAATCTTTAAAAAAAATATGGAATGATAAAAGTATAGAATATAGAATGATAAAAGCATAGAATTTAAAAAAATATATAGAATGATTAAAGTATAGAATTTTAAAAAAATATAGAATAATAAAAGTAGAAAATTTTAAAAATATACAGAATGACTAAAGTATAGAATTT